TATGTAAAATAAAGAAATGCCTTTAGTTTGTTATTTTTTTATTGAATGCTTTGAAATTGTGTTTTCAAGTAGTATATTTTGTAGTTTTGATGTTTAAGGCGCAGTTTTAAACAGATGCGCTAGATGGCGCACAAACATTTCGTGTAACTTAAATATGCAAATCTGAGGAGTGTTTTCATCGACCTCAAACGTAAACAATCGTCTATTTTTTTTTTCCTACTTAAATGCCGCATATATGTATTTTTCTGGCCATGTATTAAGGCGAGAAGTGAACGATTTCTACTGTGAGGTTAAAGGAAAGTGCTGTTAAATGTCACTCTTGGTCTCTGACTGAGGCTGGGACATATGAAACTCAGTCTCAGCGGTCTGACCCGTCAGACAGGTTTCAAAGTTTCTGTTGACTTTACAATGAACCTCTAACCGCTTATAGCTCACTGTGTTTTACATGATGAACATAGTGACATTTTAGCTCAGGTGAGACACGCTTCTGCTCTCTGTGAGCTCCTGTTAACATCAACATGATCTGATGCTCAGCCAGGATTTTTATCTGAATCCTCCAGGCCAAGGAGGCCAAATTAAGCATAATTAAAAATTCTAAGTAAAATATATTTGCATTAAATAAAATACGAGATCATAGTTATGAAACTAATTATATTCTTTAGTTGCTGTTGTTTGTAAATGTCACATTTAATTTCCCCTCTTTTGTTTCTGAAATGGGATTATGCAATATATGCACAATAGTGACACAGCATCAGCTGTCAGATGAAAGGCACCTGTCACAAAATAATTTTGTTCCTCATATTTTCATTTTGGCGGCTTAATGCATGGATTATTTGACGTGCTGAAACAGTTTTGAGGGGGGAAAAACTCTAGTCATCCTCAATGTAAACTTGATTAAATTGAGGTCAAATCTATTAGAAGAGTTTCTTATTTGATTTAATCACTTAGAACAAGATTCAGATTAGCATTCTTACAGTTTGATTTATTCAGTGTATTATGTTGCTTTGTCCTTGCAATGTTACTGATAACGGTTTTAATTACTCACAAATGTTAGTTTTCACTTGCAAGTGGCCATTGGTGAATGTTGCCATTAGCTGTAGTTCTACTCTCTTGAATAAGCATCTCACTATTACTAGTTTCTCACATGACTGGTTAAAGTCATATATGCACTTCTTATAATATATTTATGTATATATTTTCACATTTTGCAGTTTTCAAGATGTGGGCACTAAGTGGAAAAGAGCTTCCTTTCGACAGCAAGGTCTGGATCAGAATGAGGGTGAGTAAATAATAAGAAAATAGTCATTTTTGGAAAGTAACCCAGTGGTTTTCAACCTATTTGAACTTTTGACCCCCAATTATTTACTAAAAGATTCAAGGGCCCTTCATGTAATATAATATATTTCTTTTGGAAAATATCATTTGTGTGTGTGTGATTTAACCGATTTTGTGATTTAATGAAATTTTCTTTAAAAAAATATATGTATGTATGTGTGTGTGTGTTTGTGTGTGTATATATATAATCTAAAACATCTCAAATCGGTTGTTTGTCATGTGTTTTAATGAAATATACTTTCTAAAGGTATAATTATAATTGGATAAGTATTATAAATGTGGTTACAATTATTCATGTAATCATACAATGCAAGTAACATTACAAGAAATAATTAATGCATTAAAATTTTATATTGTATTATGTATCAAAACCTCAAGAAAATGTTACCAATGATTTTTATTAATTTCAATGACCTTTCCCAAGTCTAGAAATCACAATTACATAATATACAATTCCCTCATATATCCACATTTTCAAAGAAACCGAATCGAGAGAACGAATTAAAATATTGATCTTAATATTTTCTGTTTTAGCTTGTTTTAAAGCTGGATTTGTTATTTTAAATTATTATTTCATTTCTTTTTTTATTATTTAATTTAATTTTATATTTAATTATTTGATTTTCTAAATTTTAAATGATTTTAAATATTGTAAATAGTTCTATTTTTATTTGAAACTATTTTAATTTACATTTTTAATTTTAAATGATTTTATTTTGAATTTTTTTATAGTCATACTGCAGCCACTGCTTTAGCTCAAGTCGGGTGTCACTGGCTTGTTGCCGGTTATGTGTTTAACCAGCAAGATCAGTTACTGCTATATCAACAGATGCTTGAACTTATGGACTTGCTTTAAAAACAAAAACTCAGTCAATTTGTCATCAGCCGCCAGAAACCAGTGTTACCGCATAGCGCTGATGGACCAAACCCCTGCTATCTGATTCCTGTCAGATAACCCGTGTACATTTAATCAAACACGCTGCGTTTCACCTCACTTCTGCCGTCATGAGGGCTAAGCTGGAGATCCTGGCTCTGGTTCTGGGCACCATCGGTCTGGTCGGGACCATCGCGGTGACCGCCATGCCCATGTGGAAGGTGATGGCCTAGGCCTACATCGGGTCCAACCTCATTGTGATGGAGATGCTGTGGGAGGGGTTATGGATGGCGTGCATACGGCCGGCGGACATCAACATGCAGTGCAAAGTCTACGTCTCTCTGCTCATCCTGCCGGCGGACATCCAGGCGGCCCGCGGGCTCATGTGCGCCTCCGTCACTCTCGCCGTCCTGGTGTCCGTCTGCGGGATGAGGGGCACGGACTGCTGCCATGATGACGCCAGGCGCAAGAACGTGATCCTGATGGTGGGCGTGCGGGTGTCTGTTCGTGGTCGCTAGCCTCACCACTCTTCTTCCGGTCAGCTGGTCCACTCACTCCATCATCAATCAGAGACTTTTACAACCCGATGGTGGTGGAGGCGCAGAAGCGGGAGATCGGACAGGCGCTGTATCTGGGCTTCGCTGGAGCTTGCTCCTCCTGATCGCGGGGGTGATACTGCTGTGCCGTTGCGGCCCCCGTCACAGGAAGGACGAGGAGGAGAAGAAGCCATACATCGCAGTGGAAAAGGACAAGGCCGGGATGAGCATGTTGGGACGGACACCCTCTTCTGAAATACTTTATTATTACATATTATAGTAATTGATTTATTGTGTGTGAGTATGTGTGTGTGTGTGTGTA